TTTTTTTGGGTCATAGGTTTGAAATTTGAAATTTGAATCCTGTCACCTTGAGTCCAAATCAGGTAATTGAACATAATTCCATTTATACATTTCAAACCCGTAACTTAATGACTGCAACGCTACAGGTGGGGACATCCGGGAGCGCACGTTAAGTCGTCCCTGTCCAGGTGCTGCACATTTTTTTATTTTTCTGTTTTTTTTAACCCGAGTTTCGCTGGAAATTTGGAGGTGACTCGCAGACAAAGGTGGTTTGCATTGGAACGCTGCATAACAATCGTTTTTTTCTTTCTGAATTTTTTGCTCAACAAATTCCTACGGACGTCGGTCCAAATGTCGGGAGTCTGGACAGGCCAGTAGCCTAGCATAACTGCAATTTCAGTCATAATTTCACCTATTATTCTAGTCCAATATTGCAATAAACCTCAAAAGATTCTACTTAGGATACAACTTGCAAATTGAGAGCAATCAGATGAAGTTCATGCAAGGTGGGACAAGTTACGGTTATGGGTATGGGCGTAGGGAAAATATGGGCCTATAAAATTATTAAAATCCCTTCCCTTTGAGCGATCTCGTCCATGAACAGTGCAAATTCGAGGTTCCACTCAAAGTACAATAATTAATAATTATTGAATAATATACAGTTGAAAATGTTTGAGAATAAGCGGTTGCGACCGCTGTAACACGCCTCAGGTATGTACCCAACTTCCTCATCCTTCGGCTGCTTCTCTTCTCTCTCTTTTTTTTCTCTCTCTTTCCCTCTTGCACTGTTCCTCGTTCACAGTTCCTCTCTCGACGTACCTGGCTGTGGCCAGCTGAACCATGACATGCACTACGCTCTTCTCCCCCTTGCGCTCCTTCGTCCAGGTCGCTTGATCGCACAAGCTCTTGCGGCACTTCCACAATTCTGCGAAATGAACAACAACTGAATGCCTTTCGGCACTGTAGCCCAAAATATATAGTTGCAGTGGGCTGTTCGTGCCTGCTTCAATCGGTACCAGCCTCATGCGGCCTCTAAACCTTTGCCAAATTGCCATCTTGGCAAAGTTCCTCCTGACTTTCATTGGGCGAGATACCTACCTACGACCTCACCCTACAGACCCTAGGCCTACCCTGCCGGTACTGTAGCCTACCGGATTAACTGGAACCACTACCTTTTGGGGACTGACTGTGTGAAATCCTTTCACTATACTCTGTACGAGTATATAGTCTATAACATTATACTGCCAGTGGTACAATACTATAATCATAGTATAATGTTATAGACTAGTATAATATAGTCTGTAGTCCTATACTAGTCTATTGAATAGTCTATACTATAGTATAATCCTATAGTATAGTCCTATAGAATATAGTATAGACTAGTATAATATAGTCTATAGTCTATACTAGTACACGGTTTCCAACTTTCCACTGTGTCCAGCCAGGGAAAACCACATCCACCCAGCTTGCAGGCCCGGGAAATCTATACCAGGCAGAAACGGCCCAAAGGGGTCATATAGGGCCATAGAGACATACCTTTCGTCCCCAGAAGAGTAGTACATTTTTATTTTATTTCTTTTTCTTACCGATTTTTTTTTAACATCCTTCTTTTTTTATCCCCAATTATTCACAAACATCATATGCGTGAGCCTGGATTCGAGTTTTGTTTCTAAAAAGCATGGCTACGCCGGACCTGGGCCCGCTCATTGCCAGACACAGGACCACATGCATGTCTGTCTCCATCCGGACGTCCGTACTTCCGGGCATTTCGGAACCTCCGGACATGGAGGGTTCCTAACCGTACGAACCGCTTAGCAAGTCCGAAAATGTCCAGACTGTAAAAAAAAAAAAAGAGAGCACGGGGTACACACACACACACACACACACACAGAGAGAGAGAGAGAGAGACAGAGAGAGAGACAGAGAGAGAGACAGAGAGAGAGACAGAGAGACAGAGAGAGAGACAGAGAGAGAGAGAGAGAGAGAGAGAGAGAGAGAGAGAGAGAGAGAGAGAGAGAGAGAGAGAGA